AACACAACGATCATTGCATGAGTTGCTGCCCTTCGGATTTTGACATATGTCTTCCCCCTTTATCTAATTGTATTGACTGTGTGTGTTATTTGACAAAATTCCCCAAATAAATGCCATTAGTGGCAAAAAAGAAAACATGAGAAACACCAGATGTATTTTTTTCTGTCATTGCCTTGAAGTCTCTAAAAGTGTTTTTTAGATGTTCGGGGGAATCATCTTCTTTTATGCAGACAAAGCACATGCTCGGGGCAGTGTAATGGTGACTAACGTCAGTGGTTTATTCTTACAATGTTTTTGTTGAGGTGGATGATACTTAACACCTCCAATGTGGATGCATACACGTCAACCTTTGGTTTGGAATAATTTACTTCCACATGTTGAGGAATTCATGCTTTGCTTTTACAGATAGAGTCAGAACCATGCAAGACACTGACATGGAATTTGGGGCAGCATTAGCAGTTAGGCAGAAACTGATTTGGTCTGGGTTATTGAAAGGAAACACTTCTTATTTATCAGCCGGCTACATAACAAAACCCACACTCACTGTCTCAAGTGGCAGGTTTTGACTCAAATAAAGAATGAGATTGGGGATGTAAGCATCTAAAATGAGCTCTCACTGCAGGGTGGCTGAATTCAATCTCGAAAACAATACCGTGAAAAGGAATCAGAACTTTGATTGACTTCTACTGTTTTGGTAGTTTTTCTTTCTTAGATTGTTCACACTAGATCACATAAAAAACCTTTGTTGATAAAAAATGGTTTTCAAAGCAAGATTTTATTTTTAAAAAGAAAAAAGCTCTCTAAACTACCCCTGACTTGTGTGAAAAATTTTTTGTATCATAAACCTGATAATCTGTTTTGCCAAAATTACGAGAGCCTTTGATATTTCTATTTAAAATTTTAACCTAATTTTCTTAGCGCAATTAATTAAATTAAGACAAGCTGGTGGGTTTTCAAAAAGTAATGACCTAATCATGCCAAAGCTTTTCAAAGATAAACTTTTCTTTTTATTTATGTGTTATATTCAGCTCTGTTTGGCCTGCAGTGCAAAAAAAAGAAGAAATAAGTAAACATTTCTTAGATAAGTGTATTTACACTTAAGTTGAGTAGATCAAAAGGTTAAGATGATCTGGTAATGGAATGAATATTTTATTATTTTAAATGTAAATTGTCTTGTTCCATTTGCAAAGTGTCTCACTTACCTCTTCAATTCAGGAAAAAAATGCACAAATTTTCAGAAAAATTAGTTATTTAGATTACATTTTTTTTTCCAGTGTGTGATTAAAAAGGGACACATTTTCAATGTCAAATGAGTCTGGATCTAGTGATGTCTTCTTGATTCCTTAGTAAAAATCTGTTCTACTGGGAGATGGACCCAGGGTTATTTATTTCTGATAAAGCTGCTGCTTCCACAGACTGATCTTGAAACAGAGGTGGAAGAAAGAAATTTGAATTGAATTTATTATCCTTTAGATATTCTTAGTTTTTGGCTGTACACAAATTGTAATCAGATTACTTGTATTGCATCCACCAAGAAAATGGTGTTTTACTCTTGCATGTCATATCTTTACACATGCTGGGTTTATAATACTGTCTTTGGAATGTAAAGATGAAATCTGAATTACTATTAATCAGTATATGAGAATATATTATTTAATATCAATATCATTCCTATCATCATCTGGAGTTTTTTTTTTTTTGGGAATATTTCCTTACAAAAATCAGCAGCTAATTTTGGTCATTTGCTGTTCATTTACTCGGCCAAGGAAAGAATTAGACTGGTTTATTACAATCTTATGTTAAATTACCAGAGCCTCAGAAGAATAACTCTCTGTGCTCAGTCAGCCTTGCTGCTTCGTACATAAAGCAATTACAGTCTGGTTGAAATGAAGATCTGTATCATATCTGCTATAACAGATTCAATTTTCGGTGTTGGCCTGAGTCGTTAACTCAGATCTGCGACATTAACATTTCTGTCTTCTTCTGTAAGATTCTTTTCATGATGAGCCTGCAGTCTGGTCACCATCTGGAAAGCCACTGTACGCACCCACTGCAACTGTCTGCATTGTAGATAACTCAATAAATTACCTCATTGATTTTACAAGAAATTTAGTTTGTACTGTTCAGCTCAGTTAAAGGCCATTCAGAGCAAGGCCCAGACCGAGTGTTCTATACACCGCCTGACACCATTAAGGAGATGGATGGATGGATGGTCTGATAAACATGGAGTACCTTTTTCTAAAGTAATGGATCCACATGTTGAAGGAAGTTGCTCGAAAAAACTATATTAACCCAAAATATATTTGTAGCAATAATTTGGTAAAACATTTTAATCTGAAGGTGATCATATACACTGAATGTTTCTGAGAGAATTGCAAATTGGTCCCTGAACCACTTTTATATTTCTTAAAATGTCCCGCTTAACCATAGCTGGAGACATAGGGTAAAATACACCTCATATAATATTAGCTTGGTGTGACTGACAGCAGAGCTTATGTGCCTACCAAGCAAACTAGCAAAACTCCCACATGCAAAAAAGGCTTAAAAGAAATCAAGTAGCAAATGATGGAGGAATGAGTCGTTTACCTCCCCCCAACCTGTCTGCTAATGCTGACCTGTGAAACTGCCTGTGTGAACCATATCGAAAATTAACATCATGGTCTTTAATGTTGATACTCCCTAAAAAACTCCAGTCTGCAATCAGACTGTGACCATCAACATAATCCACTGTCAAGGAATGCCTACAATGGCAAAGAAGATGAGTTCCTTTGAATCCAATTAGCTTTAATTGACAGGTTTATGAACACAAACAAGACATATTACTGCAGTTCCACTTTACTATTAATTAAGACATGTTCCATCATCCATCCATCCATCCATCCATCCATCCATCCATCCATCCTTGACATGTTAACATGTAATTTAAATAGACATATAAAAAAAGAAACATATATTTCCTTGTGGGGCGACAGTGGCGTTGGATGTAGGAGTTTGCCCTGAAATCGAAGGATTGACGGTTCAAGCCCCG